TTGTCCGTTGTATGGCTAGTAAAGATCTTCTCCCAATCTGTGGGCTTTCTATTGATCTTGCTAGCTATGTCATTTGCCCTGCAGAAGCTCTGCAACAGTTTTCTGAGTGGTTTATTGGAGATAAGAGACTCACGGACTTTCGTGCTTGCTGGCTTTGAACCATAATCCTCAGATCTCAGCCTCCTGAGTACCTAGGAGTATAGGCATGAGCCACTAGCACCTGGCTATGGCTCTGTTCTTGAAAAGAGAGGAAAAATAGAGATTCTCTATGGGCAAGCTTTCATGGACTCCAAGTGGAGGAGACTCTCTAAATTGTGCTATGTGCTCACTGCCCTGGGAGTCCCTTGTATCTAAAGGATCCTTTAGAGGATGCATTGTTGAGGTTTCTGATGATGCATGATGACCACCAGAGAAGGGTTGTGCCCAGGTCGCAGGACCCCCACCAAGACCACCACCAAGAGTCAGACTTTACAGCTGTTTTAAGGTTTTATTTAGACGGGATGCAGCTCGGGCCTCGTCCTACACTCCGACACAGCGGAGCCTAGGAGGAGAGCCCCGAGTTAAGGATTTTCAGGGCTTATAAAGGCACACAACCAGGTGTTTTAGCACCACGTGTTCCTCTGCTCTGAAACAAGCAACAAATGGTCACTGCTTCAAGTACTTTAACCCTTCATTCCCCCCCCCCTCCACACACACACACCTTGACTTATGGTCCTGAGACACAATCTTGTGGCTCCGGCCCAAAACTAAACTCCAACAGCTCTCTATCTTGAATGGATTCTTTTCTTTTCTAGTTTCTCTCTGACCTTAGCCATAAACAACAATACCAATAACAATCAGTCCATTTTTATTTTCTTGAGGCGTACACATAGTGGTTGGTTGGATGCTTGGAGACTTCCCATGTTTCCCCACAATCGTCCAGGGCAAAGGGGTCAGCCGGTCTGGCATGGGAGCAGTGGATCCAAGCAGCAATGCCGTCCACCTTAAGGGCAGTGGGTGTAGCCAGTAGCACCATGTAAGGTCCCTTCCACCGTGGTTCCAGAGATCTCAAGTTGTGCCTTCGAACAAACACCCAGTCCCCTGGTTTAAACGAATGGGGGGTAGAAATAGAAGCAGAATCATATAATGCTCTAAGCCAGGGCCACACACTTTTGTGGACAAGCTGTAGATAGTCAAGTTTACATAGAAATTCAGTATCACTCAAATCAGCAAGCAATTCAGTCTGAAGGCTAGAGATAATGGGTTGAGGGTGTCCATACATTATTTCAAAAGGAGTAAAGCCAAGCTGATAGGGTGAATTTCTTACTCTAAACAGGGCAAAAGGAAGGAGCAATACCCAGTCTGCACCAGTCTCCAAGGCCAATTTAGTTAAGGTCTCTTTTAGAGTCCGATTCATTCTTTCTACCTGCCCTGAACTCTGGGGTCTATAAGCACAGTGCAGTTTCCAATCCATCCCCAGTGCCACGGCTATTCCCTGACTTTTTTTTTTTTTGTCGGTCGTGGGGCTTGAACTCTGGGCCTGGGTGCTGTCCCTCAGCCCTTCAGCTCAAGGCGAGCGCTCTACCACTTGAACTACAGCGCCACTTCTGGTTTTCTGGTGGTTTATTGGAGATAGGAGTCTCACAGTCTCTCCTGCCCGGGCTGGCTTTGAACCGCAATCCTCAGATCTCAGCCTCCTGAGTAGCTAGGATTACAGGCGTGAGCCACCAGCACCCGGCTCCCTGACTTACTTTTGAGACGAAGGCCGGACCCGATGGTGGATGGGAAGCCATACCTGGGTAGGATTTCTTCCAGGATATTCTTAGCCATGACGTTCGTGGTCTCATGCTTTGTTGGGTAGGCTTCGGCCCATCCTGAAAAGGTGTCTACAAAAACTAGCAAATATTTATATCCAAATTTTCCAGTTTTCATTTCTGTGAAGTCTACTTCCCAATACAACCTGGCCTGTCTCCACGGAGGCGAGCTCCTTTTGTAACCAGTTGATTGGGGGCATTGGTGAGCTGACAGGCTTTACAATTTTTAACAGTGTCCTCAATGAGTTGATTTCCTTGCCTAATTTTTACTTCTAAGTGTTGGAGCAAATCCTGCATTCTTTGGGTTCCCATGTGAGAGACCCAATGGATTGTCTTAAGAATCCCCTTGCCCAATCTTTGTGGCAAGATAAGTTTCCCCTCACCAGTTTTCTACCAGTCTTTGTTTTCTTCTCTGTCCGGGGGTTTATAGGCCATGGGAATTTTCTTTATCCACTCCAAGTCTTCTTGGGAGTACTGAGGCTCAGGAGGCAAAGCTCGTGGTCCTGGGTCTACTAGAGTCAGTACTTCTGCTCTGGGCTGGAAGGCCGCCTCCTTAGCTGCCTGATTGGCCAAGTTATTTCCTTTGGCTTGATGGCCAGGGCAGTGCATAATATTTGCTGGTTCCCATAAGGCCCGGATGAGGCTTAAAATTTCTTGTTTGTTTTTCATAGTCTTTCCCTCAGCTGTCAGCAGCCCCTCTCTTGGTAAATGGCTCCATGGACATGCACGGTGGCAAAAGCATACCGACTGTTCGTGTAAATGTTTAGTCTCTTCCCTTTTCCCATCTGTAGGGCTTTCGTTAATGCCACTAGTTCTGCTCTTTGTGCAGATGTTCCCTGGTGGAGTGCTTCTGCCCACACTATCTCAGTGTCCGTGGTGACTGCTGTGCCCGCGTACCTTTTTCCATCTCGAATGAAACTGCTGCCGTCTGTGAACCAGGTATGCTCAGCATGCGATAGTGGCGAGTCCAACACATCTGGCCTCTTTTCCTTGGCCTGGTCTCTCTTTTCATACTCAATTTCACGTTCTCTGCCCTTCCTTTTCTGTCTTTGCTCCTCTGTCTCTCTCTTATTGTAAGCCTTTTCTGCTGCGGCTACTAATAGACTTTTCACCAAGTCTGTCTAGAGCCTGCAAGTTTCGCTTTATGTCTGGTGCAGCTTGATTTATATAGGCAAACATAATCATCTGAGCTGACTCCTGGATCTCAAGATATTGACTAAAAGCTTCCATGAGCTGCTCAAGATATGCTGCCAGACTTTTACTTCCTCCCTGTCTTACATCATAAACTTTGGCCATATTAGTAGGTCAGCAAGCCGCCGCCTTGAGACCTGCCAACAGAGCCTGGTGGTAGACGAGGAGTCGCTCCCTTCCTTCAACCTATTGTAGTCCCATGTTGGTCGGATCTCAGGAAAATAGGCAGCGATCAGGGCAGAATCCGTGATGGGTGCTCCTGTGGGGCCAGGGATATGTTTCCGGGCCGCCTCTCAGATACGGTCTTTCTCTTCAGTGGTAGGGATAGGTTTCCGGGCCGCTTCTCAGATATGGTCTCTCTCTTCAGTGGTAAAAAGGACCTGTAAAAGCTGACTACAATCATCCCAAGTGGGCTGATGAGTAAAGAGAATAGTTTCAAGCAAACAACTTAAATTCTGGGGTTTCTTAGAAAAGGGGGCATTTTGGGTGCGCCAATTGTATAGATCACTAGTAGAAAATGGCCAATATTGGAGTTGCTGTTGACCATCCGCATCCACAGGACCTACGACGCATAAGGGAAAAACAGCCGCATTAGAAGGGGGGTTGATCCCATGGCATTGTCGAGTGACTGGCCCCTCAGAAACTTTAAGGGCAGGTGCCGAGGGTTCGGCTGCTGGTTCTATAGCTCCCTCCTCCTCTTGATCATTCTCAGGTTCTACAAAAGGAACCTGGGAAGGGGAGTATAGGGGAGGAAACATTTCTTCTTCCAAGTTATCTCCCTGAAAAACTGGGTGGTACGATTTCTTTTCCTCTTTCTCAGTTTCTTTTTGTAAGTCTAGGGGGCTAGATGGAGTGGTGCCCATGGTTTCCAGTCCTGTCAGTCGTACAGTCCAAAACAATAAACGGTACAAACAAAACACACGCAGGCCTGACAGTTATGAAGTGGAGATCTCCCGAATTGGTCCGCTGACTCCTGTCACGGTGGGGTTCCACACCGATCCACGCCCCACAGCAGAAGGAGTGGACCCACAGTGAGCAAGTTGGGCATTGGTTAGGAAGCCCTCTTGGTCAGTTCCAGCCCAACATCGAACCAACCCATGCCCCATAATTCTCACAGCAGGGTTCCAAGGACCATCGCCCCACAATTCACATGGCAGGGTTCCAAGGATTCCCCCCCCCAAGAGGATCTGGGACATCTCCCAGTTCCTCCAGGGTTGTCATGCAAGCACGTCCGCTTCGACAACCCTTTACACAATACGAATCGGAGCAGCCGTGCTCACAAAGGAAAACAAAAGTACAGACAGACAATGACAGGACAAGACTAGTTAGAACCTATAGAATCATCATAGCCTTCTTCTCCGATCACCTACAACCCCAACTCCCTTCTCTTCTTCCTGTCCACCCAATTAGAGGAGTCTAGATTTCTTTCTTCTTTTTCTTCTTTCTAGTAAAGTGGAACCAAGTCAACCCACCACAGCTTTTTGAAACAATGGGTACTTCAATCAACTTTAGTTCCCTTTGAAACTTATTCACTCCCATTAGAACAGAGACTTATTCCCCCTAGTGTAACTCAAAGTAGGACCTCATACCATCCAGATGTTCCTGAGAGGAAAATGGCTGGAGGAGAAGACAGAATTCTGTGCAAGCATGCTCCTTCTCATTGGCCAGTTAGAGCTAACTGGAGTATACTAACATTGGGCCTGTTTTCAGAAGATCCTGATAGGTTCCTAAACATTGCCTTTGATTTAATTTCTTCCAGTCTTGTATATCAGTCTTCCAATCTGTTGTATTCCTGAGGAGAAAAGCCAAATTTGAACAGCACAGGTTTCTGGGGATAAAATCCATGCAAGGGATCCCACCAAGCCTCTGAGACCACAGCTGTTTCAAATGAGGACCTTAGATGGGAGTGAAGATTCTGAAGTCATGACCAGCTGTTGAATTGGGGGAAGCAACAGTCTGTGAGCAAACCTATCCAAGAAAAAAATCAGACACATTATGGAAGAAGATGAAAATCTTGCCCAGTTTTGAAGTCACCTGACAGACCTGAGAAAGTATAGCAACATGAATCCTGAGCCACCTGAAGGGCAAGTACTATTGAGAACTTTCGTCATTAGTCATTCTCCTCAAGTATCAGCCCAAAGACTCAAAGACAAACAATAGAGCCCACAAATCCCATTATCCAATTGTTAAATTTTGGCATTTGCATTTTCAACAATTGAGATAAGAGAAGAAAAGTTCAACAAGTCCTGAGAGAACAGTTCCAGGCACAGGAACAGGCTTGCTTGCTTAATAGCTATGGCAGTGAAGGGGGGGGGGGGGAGAGTGCTTTACCTCTCTTGAATAAAAATATGCCACCTCAGTGGAAAGACCTGAGCTGTTTGATTAAGAGGCTGACTGCAAGAAGCCTAATAAATGTTACCAGTGTAGACACTAGGACTGCCTTATGAAAGGACCCAAATACCAGTTGTATAAGAAGAGACATCACTGAAGGAAAGAATGTCCTTGATTCCAAAGGCAAAGAAAGACATCTGCCTCTATCTAGCTACCTTAGGGGCTGAAGATAACCAGACTTTCCTTCCATTGTGGATACCTAAACAGCCAACTGACATTAACATAGAAAGTTCCTCAGTTAACTTATTTTTTTAACTCAGAGCCTTGCATTTGCCTAGCAGATGCTCTACTACTTGAGCCACACCCCTAGTCCTTTCTGCTTTTAGTTACTTTTCACAAAGTGCCTCATGCTTATGTCCAGGTCAGCCTGGACTGTGAGCCTCTTACATTTGCCTCCCAAGTAGCCGGTATTATAAGTGTGTACCACCATGCCTGGCTTGTTTTTTGAGACAGATTCTGGGCTGGACTCAACCTCAGTCTTCCTATCCCTACCTCCTGAGTAATTGAGATTATAGGTGTGTACCACCATTGTGCGCAGCACAGCCTCAGGTAAACTCTCTGAGGCAGGTAAAATGATAAATTCACCGAATTCTTAGGATCTTTGTTTTTCCCTGACAAATCTTGTGTAGTAACTGGTATTGATAAAACTCTATAAAGACCTAAAGATTTACTAAACTCTCAACTTGCAAACTTGGTGAATTAGTGTTTTTCCTTAAATATTTTTGGTGTGCCTAGAATACCCTGCCCCATTATTATATTGCTTATTTTGGACACACATTTCACTTCATTGCTAGACATACATCTTCCTTCTTGGAGGTATTAATAGAACCAACTACCATAGCACCAAAAATATACCAAAAATAGTTTTATATTAAGTAGAACCTGTAGTTTGGGATATTGAAATCTCTGTAGCCTGAGATATTTCTGTTTCTTTAAAAAATGACCCAGAGCCCTGTCCCCACAAGTGGAAGTATTCTATTTAACCTGGAGCCTGCCAAGGCCAACAACTTCTCAAATCTAAATCCCTCAAAATACCGTCTTTTCATCTGCTGCTAATTCCTGTGAAATTCTTCCATCCTCCCTGGATTAAAGTCAGGCCAGGAATATTGATTAATCCAGACCTTGTGGGAAATTAAGGAAGCTGTAACTCCACCCTATAGCCCCTTACTCACACACTATCTGAACTCAGATACCATTATCTCAATAATCCCTTCCTTTATATCCCCTTCACTCTGGCTCGCAAAATTTTTTACTTCTTGCAAATCAGGAAAAAGAAAAACTGAAGAAAGACTGATCCTAATCCTTTAGAAGCTACTCAATATTCCTCCATAAATCAGGGAAATGCTGTGGCAAACTGGAATGCTACATGTGCAGTGCTCTAAGGTATCTCAGGGATGACTTTGATTGTGATTACCTGCAAAACTATTCTGCTTAGAAACAAATGAAGAGTGGATAAACAAAAGGGAACATCAACTAAATGAAAATGGGTTGTGGGCAAGGGAGGAAGGTCACAAATCTTTTGTACCCAAGGAAAAACAGTGTAAAAGTGTTAGGAGATTTACCTACAATGAAGCTCTGGCTGTTCTGATTACTCAAGTCTTTTCAGGGAGAGTCCTCCAGGCTACTTATAAAAACATGTCTCATTGTAGGACAAACACTGGCTTAAAGTGAAAAGATGAGATAAAATTTCCAAGCAAAGCCAAAACTGGAATATCTATATTCTTATTTTCCAGTGCTGACTTTCAAAGAAAATTGGTGGAAAAAGACAAACAGGATCACTTTATATTGATAAAGGGAAGAATACATCAATAAGATATAACAAATTTGGGGCTGGGAAGGTGGCTCAGTGGTAGAGTGCTCACCTAGCACGCATGAAACCCTGGGTTCCATTCCTCAGTACCACATAAACAGAAAAAGCCAGAAGTGGTGCTGTGGCTCAAGAGGTAGAGTACTAGCCTTGAGGGGAAAAAAAAGCAGCTCAGGGACAATGTCCAGGCCCTGAGTTCAAGCCCCAGGACTGGCCAAAAAAAACAAACAAAAACAAAAAAAGAAGACATAACAAATTTAAACACATGCACTGAATGTTGGTATATCTAGTTTCATAAAATAAATACTAGTAGATATGAAAGCATAGATCCCAACATGATAATGAGGGACTGATTTTAATTCTTCATTCTTATCCATATATCATCAGACAAAAAAAATCCACAAGTGAACTTCAGAATTAAATGACACAATAGATCATAGCTATTCAGGAGGCTGAGATATGAGGATCAAGATTTGAAGCTATCCTAAGCAGAAAAATGCAAGAGACTCTTGTCTCCAATTAACCAGCAAAAAGCCAGGGTAAAGATGTGGCTCAAGTGGTAATGTGCTATCTGAGCAAAAAAGCTAAGGGAAAGCATGAGGCCCTGAGTCCAAACCCTAGTACTAACACACACACACACACACACACACACACACACACACAATATTCAAACATATCAAGACTAAATAATATTGAATATGAATGGGTAATCAAAGAAATAAGAGAAAAATTTTAAACTTGTAGATTCACTGCTAGGTGCCAGTGGCTCATGCCAATAATCCTAGCTACTCTGGAGACTGAGGTCTGAGGATCCTGGTTCAAAGCCATCTGGGGCAGGAAAGTCCAAAGGACTCATCTCTAATTAGCCATCAAAATCCATAAGTGGCTCTAAGGCTCAAGTGGTAGAGCACTAGCCTTGAGCAAAAAAAACAAAAAGATAGTGCTGTTCTGGGTATTGTTTCTAACTAGCTAGTAACTGGAATGGCATTGGAAAGCTAGGGACTCAGAAAAGGCAATGCTAAGAGGGAAGCTTAATGCTATGAGTTTCTACTTTAAAATATCAGAGATCTCAAATAACAACGTACTTCAAGCCCAAAGGAAAACCCGAACAAGCCAATCTCAAAATTAATACATAGATACAGGTGGCCCTGTTGCAACAATGAGAAGTACAAGTTGTCATGTCCAAAACGAGCTTTACAAAGTCGGTGCGGGGGGCGGGGGGGGAAAGGGGGGGGGAGAAGGATAGTGATTGGGGGGGGGGGGGGGGGAGGCTGGGAAGGGATGTGAAGTGTAAACAAAAGGAGGAGGCTGCAATGCTTGGTAAGAAATGTATGCATTATCCTGCCCATGTAATTGTAACCCCTCTGTACAGTATCTTCACAAATAAAATAAAATAAAAAAAGAAAGAAAAAAATTAATACATAGAAAAAAATAAATTGAAGCTGGGCACTAGTGACTCACATCTGTAATCCTAGCTCCTCAGAAGGCTGAGATCTGAGGATTGCGGTTCAAAGCCAGCCCAGGCAGCAAAGTCCTCATGAGACTCTTATCCCCAATAAACCACCAGAAAACCTGAAGTGGCACTGTGGCTCAGTGGTAGAGCACTAGCCTTGAGCCCAAGATCTGAGGGACAGCACCCAGGCCCAGAGTTTAAGCCTGATGACCAACAACAACAAAAAAAGAACAAAGTGACTGATTAATCAAATAGTACAATTAAACTAATCGATTAACTAAATGGTTTGTATAAAAGTATCCTAATCTGAATCTCAAGACTGTAGCCTAAAACAAGTATATCTTACTAGAGATAAAATGGAGTTTCTCTTGCATACTCAAACTCAAACTGAGTGTGTACTGTGGCTTGTTAATAAATCTGCTTAAATCTCACATTTTACTCATTTTTTAAATCTTTTCTGCAGCAAAACCAAAGGCTTTTATTGCCAGATGATAGCCACACAGCTGTCAGGGACATCTGCAGGACTCCACACCATAATGAGTTATCTTTATCTGAGTTTCCTCATGTCTTCCCAGTACATTGATTTACTTTGGTTGGAGTTGCTTTTAGTCACTTGCAAAATTATGACATAATTTAAGTGGCATAAGCAGTAAGTACAATCGCTACAACATAGTAGATATAATTCATTTGCCTTGTTTTTGTAATTGAAATCTTCCATGACAATATTTCTATGGACTTCCTCTGGTCCAGTAAATGGGAACCAAACACACAAGCCTATTTATCATAAAATGATTGGATACAACTTAATTTCCATGTGTAATAAAGAAGCCAGCAGTCCAGACTTGAAATAATTCTAACATTCTATGATGGACGCTTTATAAGACTACCATATAAGAAGTATAGAAAATATGTACTAGAGTATATAAAGAGGAAGAGGAGACAACTGAAATGTAAAGAAAGGATTTGGACTGGACTGAAGAATTGCTAAGATTAGAATAAGTAGAGAAGAGCAGGGGATATTTCAGGCAAGATGGTGATAGCTTTAGCAGAGGCATGTTCCAGATGCCAGAACCAGAGAGGCTGAGAAGAAGAGAGCTGAAGCTGAAGTAGGAATTTATTATCAATAAATATACATCAAAGGATAACTACAGAAGGGTGTTTGTACTTCTCTACATTAGCATATAATGTTTTGAAAGGTTAGATTGGAATTCCTTTTAAATACAATTCTAGAAGGGAACAAGTTGCAAATAGTTCCATAAAAGAAGATGCTTGGTTCAACATTATTATTATCTATACATATTGACAGCATGAAATGTTTGTAGGATCTCCTGAATATAATTTGAAACTATGGACCACTGAAGAGTTCTTGATAACTTTAAATTAAACATTTTTGAAACAAATACATTCTTATTTTTCTTTTTCTTTCTTTCTTCCTTTTTTTTTTTTTTGCTGGTTGTGGGGCTTGAACTCTGGGCCTGGCACTGTCCCTCAGCTCTTCAGCTCAAGGCTAGCGCTTGACCATTTGAGCCACAGTGCCACTTTCAGCCTTTTCTGCTTATGTGGTGCTGAGGAATCAAACCCAGGGCCTTATGCATGCAAGGCAAGTGCTCTACCACTGAGCCACCTTCCCAGCCCCACAAATATATTCTTAAGATAAAATTATCTTAATTATGTAATTATGACTTGAAGTTATTTCAAAGAACAAGTATAAATAAGAAGTTCAGAAAAGGAAAACTTCCTGAGGCAGTTATAGTACAAATTACACATAAATAATTTCATGAAGAAAAAGGATTTAAAAACAGCTAATAACTTAGAAGGGATTTTACTGTCTTGTCAATAAGCATATGCTCTGATCCGGGGCACAAAATATTCACAGAATGCAATTTAACCACAATAATCTGAACAGATGCTTACCTACCTTGGAAATCTGCCACAAACGCTATTAAGCTGGTGAGTGCTTTCTATGGTGGTGGTGCCCCACACCCTGCTAGGAGTCAAGGCATTATTTTTGGCCATACTGGATCAGGAAGGTGATAGCAGTGTTGGTGGGAGGTTCAAAAAGCCGCTTCAGCAAAGGAGGAGATCTGTTGATTTATTGATTAGCTACATACACATCCTGGTTAAATGCTTTCTATTTGGGAACCCAAATGTGATAACCAGTAATTCAAATAGTATAAAAAGCAAATCTTGGCTCTGCAGGAACAGTACCTCCAGCAATGATGGCAAAGCTCATTCTCCTCACAGGTGCGTTCCTATTCAGTTATAGCCTCTTGTAGGCTCTGATACCTTTAAGCCATGGTCGCACTAAGCCTCCATGCATTTCCATTTTTCTTTCAGCATTCTCAAGCCTTGTTTCTTCTTATGCAAATCATTCTGCTTCTTGTTCTTGTAACTTCATTAGCTCTGGTGATATCTGTGCCTTTGTTGATGCCACAAACATGGTCCTAAAAGAAAAGTTCACTTGGTTTCCCCCATGCTTGTCTCATTCTTTCATCTGTAGTTCATGCCTTACCTTTTTCTCCATTCATTTTTCTGAACCACATACTTTTGATTGGCATTATGTTTCCATGTCATGTCCTGAGACTAGCTGCTTCAGTATGAATTGGAATAGGACTATACAAGTTGTTTTCACTCCACTATTTTCAGAATTATTTCTTACTTATTCTGTAGAGTCCTGCTGAGTATATATTATAAAAAAAAATGTCACACTGGAAGTAAGTCAGGCTCAGAGAAACAAGATGTGTTTATTTTCTTTCATATGTAGGTATTAGATCTAAGTTATAAACATATACAGAAGCATACGCAGGGTTACATGCATATTTACACAAACATATTAACTGAAGTGTGGTATGCACAGGAGGATTCCAATGATGCATTTGAGCAACTAATTTACAGCTTAACAAAATGAATACCAGGAAGCTGGTGGGGTAAGGTGATGGTAGAAGGGGGTAGACAAATGGAGAGAAGAAAGGTGGGTGAATGCAGTCATAATATCCAATGTGTATATATGAAAATGGAATCCGGTAAACTGAGGGGCTGGTGAGGTTGGGAATGATGGAGGAGAATGATGAAAAGGGTAACATTTTTTGAAAGAGGATAAAAAAAATTAAAGTGTCACTCTTAGGAATTCAGTCATGCAAAGAGATTCAGTTGTTTAGAGTCAAGTCATATCATCCACAACTTTTTAGTTACTACAAAGCTGTGATTTGCAATCCTTTTCAAGCATCAGAATCTTTTCCAAATGAAACCTTAAGCTCACTTCGTAAAGCAGACTTTAGGTGTCTTGGTTAGTGGCGAAGGCCTGTAATCTCTGCATCTTCAAGAGGTTGAGGATGTGACTCCTGGGGCCATCCTCCACCACATACTGAGACCCTATCTCAAAAATCAAAATTCCTCCAGTAAAGCCAGGCAGAGGCATCTGGAGATTCTGAATTCTTCTCTTCTCTTACAAGGGCTCAAAAGAGACCCCACAAAAACCCAACATCCTAAGTCTCCAAGGGAGTCTGAATTCTCCGTTTTAGGGGAGTCTTTGTTTATTGGAAGACTGTGCTCATCCAAGCTTGGGAAGTGATGCACATACGGATGTGTGGTCACCAGGGAGAGGGAATTTGGGGTAATTTCAGTCAGTACTATTTTCTAGGTAGTAGGCTTCACATTCCATAACACTTATTTCTTACATGAAAGGTGGAATAAGAGGACGTTGTGGCCATTTTGGACTAATGAGTGGAAGAATAGATTGTTGCACAGTTGCAAAGTTTCCCTTGGGCTGTAACAACTGGTGATGGATAGGATGGGACTGAAGGCCTCGGAATTAGATACTACAAGATACAGAGTAGACTCAGAGTAAATGTTTTCTCTTTCTTTCCAGCTCTGGCCTTACAGTTGAATGCTCAGTTGGGTAAGTTGTTGGCTCCAGGTTTTCTTAGTCACAAAATCTTTCTCAGCCATCAAGTTCAAAATTACTATGAATGATTCCCAAAGTAATTACTTATTTAATATATTTGATAGCAAAATACATTCCAGTATTACTTTATATGAGAAAAGCTATCAAGAGATAAAACATTGCTGTCTTTCACAGTTTGACCTCCTAAGAGCCATGAACTGGTGGCACACTGTGGGCTACATGCGACTACTGGGCATCTTTACTTTTCTATTGTTTTAAAAATTAGGGTATATTAATTATACAAGTGGTTTCATTGTGATAGTTCCATATATATATCTAAAATGCTTCAATCATATTCACTTCCTCTATTACTTTCTTATCTTTCCTTCAGAAGGCTTATGTCAGATTTATTTTGGATCAAAGTTAAAAATAACAAACTCTGATAGGAGATTACAGGCTCATGAGACTACAAAAGATTACAAGCTCATGACTGTAATCCTAGCTACTCAGATACTGAGATCTGAGGATTGCAGTTTGGAGCCAGCCACAGTAGGAATGTTTATGAGACTGTTATGTCCAGTTAACCAGCAAAAAGCTGAAAGTGGAGCTGTGGCTCAAGTGGTAGAGTGCCAGCCTGTATTGCCAGCTTGGACAAAAAAGCAAAAGGATAGTACCCAGGCCCTGACTTCAAGCTCCAGTACCAGCATGCATGTGTTCATGTGTGTGTGTGTGCGTGCATGTGAGCACGTGCACACATACACACCATCAACACAACCTCCAAGTGTCTGGACTCATCTGCAAGAGTGTTCATACAAATTACTCCCATTAAGCATCTGGGGTACAAGAAAGGAAACAGAAACAGAGTCAAAGCTGACAGCACATTTTAATGACATCTGAATGACCTACTATTCTTACTTCTCATCACCCTCAGGATCTGCCTACCAGCTGATATGTTACTTCACCAACTGGGCCCAGTACCGGCCAGGCCTGGGGAGTTTCAAGCCTGATGACATCGACCCCTGCCTGTGCACTCACCTCATCTATGCCTTTGCTGGGATGCGGAACAATGAGATCACTACCATTGAGTGGAATGACGTGACTCTCTACCAAGCTTTCAATGGACTGAAAAAGAAGTAAGAAAGGGGCAGAAGGGGATATTTACTTCTCCAAACATCAATGCTTCTTAACTATAGTTCAGAATCAATGGTTTGGAGTGAAGAATAAGATCATTTCCTGCATTTTCTTTCTTTTTTAAAAAAATAAGACAGGGTCTCAAAAGGCATACATTATTTTATATACAACACTGTGTTCGAAATAGTACCCATCATGGAATTATTCAGTTGAGCTAATTAACAGATGTGTTACAAACTTACTTTATGGTGAGAACACTTAAAATCTACTTTCCTGGCAGCTAAAAACAATACTTGTCATTGCTATCAATTATAGGCAGCATGTTACACCATGATAATCTCTTAAACTCATCCTTCCTGTCTCCCAGAATTTTTAAAAATTTTTTTTCTTTTTTTGCCAGTCTTGTCTTGAGCTCTGGGCTTGGACGCTGTCCCTGAGCATCTTTGTGCTAGTGTTCTACCACTTGAGCCACAGTGCCACTTCCAGCTTTTTCTGAGTAGATTTTTGGAGATAAGAGTCTCATGGACTTTTCTGCCCCAACTAGCTTCAAACTGTGATCCTCAGATCTCAGCCTCCTGAGAAGCTAGGATTACAGGCATGAGCCACCGGTGCAAGCCTCACTGAATTTTTATATCCTTTGGCCAACACCTACTCCAAGCACTCTACAACTTATGCCATACCTCCAGGATTATATCGTATTTAAATAGCATATCATTTTTCTCCATTTATTCACTGATGAATGGACACTGGGGTTGACTTCACATCTTAGCTGTTGTGAATAATTCTACCATGATTACAGAAGTGCTGATCTCTCTTCAAGATAGTTATTTCATTTCCTTTGGATGTGAAATTGTTTTTAATCTTTAAGGAATCTTCATTCTGTTTTCCATAAATGTAGTAATTTACATTTCCAACAATGTACAAATGTGCTTTGTATTCAAATCCTTAACCACACTAGATATCTTATATGTCTTTGATAATAGCCATTCTAGCAGGTTGGAGATGATATCTGTGGTTTAAATTTGCATTTAGTATCATTTAGCATCTTTTTGTATTTAGTATCATTTAATATCTTTTTGCATTTTAATATCTTTCCATACACCTATTAGCTTTTGTCTTCTTTTAAAAATTATCTGTTCAGATATTTTTGTCCATTTTAATCATATTATTTGTTTCCTGCTATTGAGTTGTTTACATTTCTTCTGTATTCTGCATATTAACTTCATATCAGTTTTCTTTCTTTTTTGGGGGGAGGGTCCGGTCGTGGGGCCTGAACTCGGGGCCTGGGCACTGTCCCTCAGCTCTTCAGCTCAAGGCCAGTGCTCTACCACTTGAGCCGCAGCGCCACTTCCAGCTTTTTTCTTTTTGCTTATGTGGTGCTGAGGAATTGAACCCAGGGCCTCATGCATGCAAGGCAAGCGCTCTACCATGGAGCCACCTTCCCAGCCCCTTAACTTCATATCACTTTCTTTTTTTTTTTTTTTTTTTGCTGGTTGTGGGGCCTGAACTCTGGGCGCTCTTCAGCTCAAGACTAGCACTCTACCACTTGAGCCACAGTGCCACTTCCAGCTTTTTCTGCTTATGTGGTGGTAAGGAATCGAACCCAGGGCCTCATGCATGCAAGGCAAGCACTCATCACTGAGCCACCTTCCCAGACCTCGGCATGCTATCTTTTTAATGGCTGTTTCTTCTGTTGTGCAGAGTCTTTAGTTTGATGTAATCTCATTTGTCTATGCTTTTGTTTCCTGTTCTTGACGGGGGGGGGGTCATATAAAAATCGATATTTAGCCATTGTCATAGAGGTTTCCCCATGTTTTCTTCTAGTAGTTTTATAGTTTGAAGTTTTATGTTTAGATCTTTAATTTATTTGAGCTGATTTTGTACATGGTATGAGATAGGGGTCTAAAAATTACTGGCTCTATTTCTGCCTGTTTTATGACCCAGGAAACTCAACTATTTTAGCTATTTGTATCTGGAAAAAACAAGTGGAGGGTATGAGATTTCATTGAATTTAATAAACAAGAAAGGTTTTCTGATCAAGATGCATTGTATTCCCAAACAGTTTTGTTGTTGAATGGCAACTCCTTTGTACACCACTTAAATAATAATTGTAACAGATATATATATATATATATATATATATAATATGTACTTTTGTAAAGAAAGTTTTCTGAAGAAAATTATTCTATATCATATCACATTAAGGAAACAATGAATGCTATGCACAGGACATTGCAACACAATTGATCTGAAATTTCTCTTTTTCATCTTTTGCTTTAAAGGAACAGCCAGCTGAAAACTCTCCTGGCCATTGGAGGCTGGAACTTTGGAACTGCCCCGTAAGTCTTCTTTGGAGAGACTGTTATGTGCTGTGGAAAGCAAGTTAGCCCAAAGTAATCTGTGTCCTTTTAGAGTCACCAATTTAAGATAGAGTATTACAGATGTATGTTAAATAAGTATACTGATTCAGTAAAATACTATACCAAAGCTTCCACATTGAACATATTTTATGTTTAAATTTCAGCGCATATTCTGGGATTCTATCACAGAAATTTATCTGCTTCCAAAACAATAAAGAGGGCAAAGCCCCGGGGAGGGTCTTACATAGCTTGTCCTCTAGGAGAAAGAAGGAGAAATCATGTACATAAGAAGACTCTTTTAGGGACATAAACTTGAGGGGCTACTTGAGGTGAGGTATTCAAAGCAAGAGCAGTCTGAGGGACAGATTGGGTAAATAACAAAATGAAGGAACCCTAAGATAGTATAGCTGGTAAGAAGAGTGAGTACAAAGGACAGCCAGGACAAAACCAAAAACATCTGTGGTATGAGTGCTAGAGAAAGCTTGGAGACAACAAAAGAAGTACAGTGTTTGTTACTCCGGTGTTTTGGGACCACTGCTTACATCTGCCATCTTTGAGTCTCTCTCAGTTTCACCACTATGGTTTCCACTGAGGAGAACCGCAAGACTTTCATTGCCTCCGTCATCAAGTTCCTGCGCCAGTATGACTTTGATGGGTTAGATCTTGACTGGGAGTACCCTGGTTCTCGTGGGAGCCCGCCTCAAGACAAGCATCTCTTCACTGTCTTGGTACAGGTGAGTAAAAGACTAAGATTTAGTAGCTCAACAAGATTCAAATGTACTTCTTCTAAAGGAGAATTTAGCAGTTATAGAATCTTAGCACTGCAAAATTCTTGGGTGTCATATCTAGTAAGCATTTAAAAACAATATGTGACCAGGGACTGGTGGCTCACCCCTATAATCCTAGCTATTCAGGAAGTCAAGATGGAAGGATCAAGGTTCAAAGCCAGCCTGGATAGACAAAATCCAAGATATTCTTATTTCCAGTTGACCAGCAAAATGCTAGAAGTGAAAGTATGGCTCAATGGTAGAATGCCAGCCTTGAGCAAAAAAGCTAAGTAAGAATGTGAGGCCCTGAATTCAAGCCCCAGTACTGGTGCGTGCATGTGTGCACAGGTGCACACACACACACACACACACACAACAAAAAGAAAAATGTGCACCATATGTCAGATACTCTATGCCTTACTCACAAAGTGTAGCTCAAGCCAGGTGCTGGTAGCTCATACCTGTAATCCTAACTACTCAAGGAGGAAAAATAAATACCTGCAATTCATTTCATCTTCACCTTTACTCTATGCTATTGGTACTATGCATTTTACATTTTTTATAGATTAGTAATTTAGGTATATAAAGGGTATAAGTAACTTGCGTCAAACCACATAGCCATTTTCTTCACTACTTGTGGTATTGGTTTCTAAGTTTATTGCTTCCAGAAATTATACTAGACACCATACTGTTACTGAGCACAAACACAATGTATACCATATATTGTGTTAGATGTCAGGCTGAGGACAAAGATAATACATAATCGTTGACTTTAAAGAATGCACAGTAAGAGGTAGAAGACTGAAACATAACCACAATTGCAGTACATTTTGATAAGTTCCATGATAAAGGTCTATGAAATACTAAAGGAGCAAAAACAAAAGGGGACTCTTGAGAAAGGATCAGAAAGCATTTTGGAGCCACATGTCAGTAGCTCATATCTGTAATCCTAGCTACTGAGAAGGCTGAGATGTGAGGATTGTGGTTTGAAACCAGCCTGGACAGGAAAGTCTGTGAGACTGTTTGTTTTTATTATTTCCGTGTGTGTGGTAGAGTCCTAGCCTTGAGCAAAAGAGCTCAGGGATAGCTCCCAAGTCCTGAGTTCAAGCCTCAGAACTCACACACACACACACACACACACACACACACACACACACACACACACACATTTTGTACATAAACCAAGGCTTTGTCTCAGTGTTGAGAAAACCTTGTGTTAACTATTGGAGGATAAGAATGACACAAATAGAAGACATATATTACTTACATACATACACACATATATATATATATACATATGGACAGACAGATATATGTGAACAAGAAAGTGAATGCTGGCCTGAGAGGCTACATAGGTAGCAAGAATCAGGACATATATATGAGAACTGTATATTAGGTTAAAGAATATGGAATTTAGAGCCAGGCATCAGTGGCTTATGCCTGAAAACTAACTACTCAGGAGGCTCAGATCTGAGGATCATGGTTCAAAGCCAGCCCAGGCAGAAAAGTCCATGAGACTCATATCTCCAATAAACTACTCAGAAAACAGGAAGTGGTACTGTGGCTCAAGTGGTAGAACCCTAGCCTTGAGCTGAAGAGCTCAGGGACAGCACCTAGGCCCAGAGTTTAAGTCCCACAACTGACAAAAAAAATAATATGGAATTTACCTTTAAGACCATGGGGCAGCTTTGAAGGATGCTTACATAGTGGAGAATTGTGATAAAACTTATAGATGTCTCTGGCTTTAACCATGAGAATAAATTAAAAGGTAAGGATAAAAAGATATTTGAGGAGCCAAACAAGATGATCAAGGCCCCAGCAACAGTTCTAACAATGAGGGGGAAAGGAGACATACACAGGGACATAAAGAGGGTAAAAGTCAACAGATCTGGGGATTGATTTGAAGTAGAAAAGAGATGGTTTTTCAATGTTCTGACTTTGAGGGCTGGTTTGATTGTGGTGCAATTCATGAGTACAGTAAATACAGTAAGAAGAATAGATTTGGAAAAATAATGACTGATTAATTTAGTTTTGATCATGATGAATGAGAGGTATCTGCATTGCCTAACTGGCATTGGATGAATAACAACCTAGCATTCATGATAATAAATTTGACTGGGTATCAGCAAGGGTAGAAGATCACCAAGGAAAAATGGATGGAATGGTAAAGGTCAGAGTTTTAAATATAGGTTTCAGATTTCCTCTCCCAAGACAAGGATTCGTCCAGCCTCTGAATAGTTTCTGTAGTAAGGACATCCCTAGGAGAAAATCAAACTGTCCTAACTATCAGAAAGAACAGCAACTCTATCCTAAGCAGAAAACATGTCTCCAGTTATAAATTATACTTTCTACCCATTGGTTCTAGTTCTGCTACTGAAGCAACAGAGAGTAAGACCATACTGGATTCTTTTTCCAGTTAAATGTCCCATGACACTCTTCAGAGACTGGAACACACTGTGGACCAAACAATCCAATGATAAGTACTAAATCCAAATAAGATTAGAGCCACACAAAACACAGGTGGACTGACCTCTGGCAATGAATGAGAACCTGTCACCTAAGCATTACCACCTTTCTCATTAGCCAGTCCAGCATTTCACGTGGTGGGATGTGACTCCATTAAGTATTTCTTCCACGAAGCAAATGGAAACAATTTTCTACACTACTAAAAGCTAAATGCGAGATTCTGCACCACAAGGGGCTTCAGAGCATTGTCAGGCAGTTGGAGCTCTGCCCTCTCTTCAGGGGCCTGGGTTCTGATTGTGACCTGACCACTAACTTGCTGGGTGATTCTGGTGGAATTTTCTAGTCCTCATCTAGATCAATTAGGTGTAATAATACCCTCTATCCTATTAATTTTATTGAGATGTTGAAAACTGTTGAAAAGGAAAAATATTATGCGTATATATGTATAAAGTTTAAAGAGCTGAAATCAGCTTTGAATATGCCCTATCCTGCCTTTTGTTTTTCAGGAAATTCGTGAAGCTTTTGAAGAGGAGGCCAAGCAGACTGGCAAACCCAGGTTGATGATCACTGCTGCAGTAGCTGCTGGCATCTCCACAATCGAGTCTGGCTATGAGATCCCTCAGGTGTCCCAGTGAGTGAAGCACCTTATCCTCAAACTCTCATTTGTATCATTAGGCATAGTATACTTATCTGGGGGCCGTCTTGCTACTCAGAAACCTTGTTTGGGAGGTTTGAAAGTAGTGTCATTTGCCTGCAGAGGTGGGGAAAAGGATGATCAGCAGTGCTTTAAGCCATGTACCCCACTTCAGGTACCTGGACTTCATCCATGTCATGACGTATGACTTCCACGGCTCTTGGGAGAGCTACACTGGAGAGAATAGCCCCCTCTACAAATACCCAACTGATACAGGCAGTAACGCCTATCTGAATGTGGTAAGGCACTCCCAAGAGGTGAATGCAGACCAGATATGATACATATCATGTGGAGATTAAGCACAAAAGAAACCTAAGCTCTGCAACTCTCTCACTTAGACAGTGGTCCAAGTCTCTGCCTCTATTTCATTAAATGTGATTCCATCAAAATATTTTGAAACAGAATACTAATCTACCTGTCACTAACATCATCTCCTTTTGCCTGTTAAGCAATGGATCCACCACTGTTTGTAGCTTGTAGCTAACAACTATCATTGCAGGATTCTGCCATGAAGTACTGGAAGGATAATGGGGCCCCAGTTGAGAAGCTCATTGTTGGATTCCCAGCCTATGGACACACCTTCACCCTGAGCAACCCTTCTAACACTGGAATTGGTGCCCCTGCCTCTGGTGCTGGCCCTGCTGGGCCCTATACCAGGGAGTCTGGGTTCTGGGCCTACTATGAGGTAAGTAGATTGGGGTGTACAGTGCTCTGTGAATTTCATGCACTATCTAGGCCTTTAGACTAGAATCGACTGAAATTGCAAATGTTCATTCTGAGTATTACCTACCTGCTCTATACCAGTATTTCTCTGAATACTTAAAGCCTTCTGATAACGCACTTACATAATTAATCCAAATGAGGAGCCCTTAACAACACCTATATGCCTTCAAGCAACAGACTATATCCTTAAGGTCATTTATAGTAGAACACAAAAGCATAATACATTTCCCATGTTACTATGGGTTCCCTAAATCAAACACTTATGAACAAAACATAAGCTCTTGAAGAAAAAAGACTTTCTTCTTCCGCACAAATAAAAACAAGTACAGTTTATCTAACTACAAGTTTTTTTAATTACAAGAAACTTGAGTAAAGCCTTAACTAGATACATGAAGGGAAAAAGAATTATTAGAGCTGAGCATATGTGTTTTCGTTCATTAAAGTTTTATTTTTATTATTTAATTTTGGTACTGGTACTGGGGTTGGAACTCTGGGACTTGCACTCTTGCTTAGCTTTCTACACTCACAACTAGCTTTCTACTGCTTGAGCCACATCTCTACTTTTATTGATTTTTTTTTTAAAGATTTGTACCTTCCTGAAAGACGGAGCCACAGAGGCATGGGATGGGCCTCAGGAGGTGCCCTATGCCTACCAGGGGAATGTGTGGGTTGGCTATGACAATGTCAAGAGCTTCGACATCAAGGTAAGATCAGCGCCTTGGAAATGCCAAGGATCTAGCCTGGAACTCCAGGAACCTAAATGATTCCTGTTGTCCTCTCTCCTTCAATAGACCCAGTGGCTTAAGCAGAACAACTTTGGAGGCTCCATGGTGTGGGCAATTGATCTGGATGACTTCACTGGCACTTTCTGTAACCAGGGCAAGTTCCCCCTGATCTCCACTCTGAAGAAAGCCCTCGGCCTGCAGAATGAAAGTAAGTGACATCAGGGGGGATGCCAGAGTGCACAACTGTCCCTTCCCCAGCAAAAACAGGCAACCTCAGCATCCACTCACCCCTTGGTGTAAGAAAATTACTCTATTTTATCACACTATTTTTTCTCAGATTAGACACAGGTCCTCTTCTTTCCCTATTTCCCAACTTCCAAACCAGAATTTTATGCTTTGGTGGGAAACCAGACCCACCTGGTAGGTTTTCTTTGGGTCTGCTAAGTCTTCGGGGCATATAAGAGAATGTAGAAATTATGTTGGCTCTCCTATAGAAATCAACTTGTTTATGAGCCTTTTTCCATCCGCCCTTACTGAGACTCTCTTGTCTAATCTGTCATTCCAGAAACAGAACTTCCTAAATCGTCTGCATATTCTTTCTCAGTGTATATTTATTCCCTACTTATACCCAAGTGATACAAAAGTATTTTGTACACATTGTGTGCTCAGCAGGGACATTTTGAATGACTTACACATCATCCACAAAAAAGAACCTTTTATTGAAAGGGAGGCTGGTTTACTTCCTAAGTTATAGCATTATCTTCAGATGTCCTCAAATTGTGGGACTCCAGGGTTAACTGCACCCCACCTGTAGACCTCCACACCTACAGTGCTCATCAACTCTAGAGAAGCCTGAAACCTCACCCAGACCCACCCTAGCCTAGCCTTAACCCTATCCTTATCCCAAGCCCTAGAACTAACACTAACCCCACTCCAATCCTAACCCTAGACCTAATCCTAAACCCATCCCCAGCCCTAACCTTAACCCTCTTGTGCTGCTGTATGTCTGCCCTTTGTGGTATATATTTCAGGTTGCACGGCTCCTGTTCAGCCCAGTAAGCCTGTCACTGATGCTCCCGGCAGTGGCAGCGGCAGTGGCAGTGGGGGCTCTGGGGGCAGTGGATTCTGTGCAGACAAAGCTGACGGCCTCTACCCAGTGGCAGATAACAAAAATGCCTTCTGGCACTGCGTAAATGGAGTTTCATACCAGCAGAACTGCCAGGCTGGGCTTGTCTTTGACACCAGCTGCAGTTGCTGTAACTGGCCATGAACATGACCAGTGTCTGTATTGCCCAGCCTCCTGAACAGCCTCCTTTGCTTCTTGCAAAAGAAATCTTGCTCCTTAAAGTTCTGCAATAAAACCAGCAGTCTAAGCATGAATGTCTGTGGTTTTCAGTGACTGGGGTAGGAATTTCTCCTGGATAAGAAAATGCCAGCTACCCTGGGGGTGGAAGAGCATGTGTGAGGAAGTGTTGGGACTAACCAACCGAATTTCCGCCTGCCCATGTTCATCTGCATGGAAATTGGAGTCTGCGAGAAGGAAATGTAGAATATTTAGTGCAAGAGTGGGTTGAGGACCTGAAGAGAATAGACTTCCAGATTCAAGGGAATAGATGTGCTGCTTGGCTTTCTCAGGAGTAGAAGGCCATGGATCACTTCTGCTGAAGATGCAGTGCTAGTCTAGTAACTCCAGGGTTGGTAGATTTGGGGAAATCTCAGTAGTGGATTCCTCCTGGAGTGCTTGTCCAGCACATGGGCTCAAAGGCTTCCTTTTCCAAGAGGTTGCCCCATTCTGATAAGAGGTGGTAGTGGCCCTAGCTGTTGTCACCCCTCTCTTTGATTGGCTGGGATGCACATCTGACAAGAGGGCCAATCAGATCTCTTGGAATTTGCAATGCAAACAGGGCTTCTGGCCTGTCGGTAGTATGCAAGTTCAAGAGCTGTCAAGAGCAACTGAGGGGAAAGGAGAGTTGTCTTGGATACAGAGCAAGCACAGAGCAACCAGGAAAAGTCAGGGAGTATATGAGATGGAGCAAGCACAGAGCACACTTTCTGCTGGTTTTCTAGCCCTTGATTCTAACTCCTTTGGAAAGCCCAGATAAATTTCTGCCTTTGAATTCTGTAATAGAGGAAGAAGGATGGATGATATGTATGTTCCTTTAACTGTGCAATTCCTCTTTACTACTTAAGCAGTAAAGTTTGCAACTGAAAGTAGCCTTACCTACCTAAAGTAGTAAGAATGCAATGGCTGATTTAGGGGGTGGCAGGTATGCTTACCATGTGTCAAATTCAGTATTTTTGAGAACAAGTTTCACTGTGTAGCTTAGGCTGATCTCAAACACTTGATCCGCCATTCTCAGCCTTTTGAGTAGCTGGGACTAACAGCATATGCCACCATGCCCTGTTCGAACTCTGTTTTGGGGGGTTTCTATGTATTTTCTAATTTAGTTCTCTGAGAAAGCTTAGGAGACAGATACTATTAATCCCAGGAAACAGGCACAGAGGAACTCCAGTAAACTGCCCAACATCACACAGCTTAGTTAGCTGCAGAGCCAAATCCAAAGTTAGACCCTACTGTGTTCTACTGTTTCCCAAGACACCAAGTGCTGTGTTTCTGTGAGAGACACTAAATCTTGTGACTGCTAAGGTCCATGGCAGCACTCTGGGGAATGTCCACTCATTTGTGGACCCACAACACTTAATCCTCTACCAATTTGCACCCTAAGCACTGAAGACACAGTGGTAAATAAGACAAATATTTCTCTTTCATGAGGTGATATTGTGCTTGTGGCACAATAAATAAGGAAATGAGAGATAGTGTAAGAATGTGCTCAGGGGAGGACACTGCTTTTAGGTCCAAGTAGCTAGGATTACAGGCATAAGCCATTTACCCAACAGAATTCTATTTTGGTTTTGGCTATCCAGATGGCCTAGATGGGGAGAGTCTATTTGAGGCCCTACTTGGGCCTTGACAGTCAAGGAGAGGAGCCATCCATTAGAGGTGAAGTGGATATAGGGTCACTCAAGCAGAACATGGAGTATGAAACATATGAAGACCAGAGTTGTTGGAGGTTGTGTGAACAGGGCTGAGATTGTGTAGTTTTCTTTGGTTCTTCTATGAGCAAGGGTTATGGTAGAGATGGTGTGACATGGTTTCAGTTCAACACTGTTGACATGGAGTTGGGATAGGAATTCAGGACACAGGAAGCAACATTCATGGTGACAAAGCCAATGGATTAAATCCTGAGCACTTGTGTGACTTATGCTCAGGATTTAATGTGTCCTCAATGATCAAGTAAAGGGGGAAAGGCCCATAAAATTGGATAGTTATTTTAAATGATTGCATTTCTATTAGAAAATGAAGCCTGTGGCAAAAAGAGCTTGGGAATGTGGGGGAGCCATATTGTACTACAAGAGTCCATGAGGATGAAGGGCTGTGGACTTAATGGAGAAAGGACATGGAAGCAGCTGCTGGCTTTGAGAACCAGCATCTTTATAAAACAGAGTGGCCAGGTGTTTCCAAACTAAAACCTATTCCAGTGCTACTATTTCCTCATAAAAATGAGTTGTACCACCATTAATAGGATGCAGAAATTGCAAAAACTAAATGTAGAACCCCCAACTCAATTTTTCTTTCTCTTTTAGATATTAATGTCTTTTTGTGTATAAATGTGCTGGTCCAGAGTTTTGAGCTCAAAGCCTGGGCACTGTCCATGATTTTTTTTTGTTCCAGGCTAGCATTCTACTACTTCTGGCTTTTTTTGGCTGGCGGGGGGGGGGGGGAATGCATTAATTGGACAGAAAGAGTCTCAAGGGATTTCCTGCTTGGGTGGGCTCTGAACCCTGATCCTTAGATCTCAGCCTCCTGAGAAGCTAGGATTACAGGCATGAGCCATTAGTGCCCAGCCACATATTAATTAGTCTTAAATGTTTTCTATATGCCTGCTATGTGCAAGCAAAGGGTATGATCTAAACCCTGTGATTACACTGACATCACTTCCTACAATTCTCTCAATTTCAGCTATGTCATCTTGCTATTTCTTAAGTATTCAAGGCATCTTGCCACTGCGGAGACTTTGCACAAAATAAAATATTCTCCCTTCAGATTTCTACTTGACTATTTATTTGACTCTCTGACTTCCATCAGGCCTTCCCTTTCTATCAAAGATTGAATTTGCCTTTATCTACTTTTCTCTGATGTTCTTCCTTTTTCCTGGATACTTACTGTTACCTGGCATAGCATGTGTTTTATGCATTTACCTTTTTCTATATCTCCACTGGAATTAACCTCTAAGGGGACAAGGATTGCTCTTCAATGGTATATTCCTACTGCCTAAAAGAATGTCCAATATATTGAGGTTAAGAACTACTTACTGTAAGAATAAACAAAAGGATATGGAGATAAGAATTAAGAAGTTAAGCATTTCAAGCATTAAACAAGTTAGTTTTATGCAGATTATTGCCTACTCTGGGTTAAAGAACACTGTAGGTATGACCTTTGACATGGTACATGACAAGACAGACATATATGCTCCTTGTGTGCTTCTTGTTGGCCTGTATGACAATTCTATGTGGCCTGTGAAAAGTGTTTTGTCTTGTTTCTGCTGGTACTAGGGCTTGAACTCAGTTTGCTTTTGTGCTCAAGGTTGGAGCTCTACCACTCAAACCACATCCCCATTCCCAGCTTTTTGCTCACTAATTGGAGACAAGTGCTTTTCACATTTATCTACCATGGCTAGCTTCAAACTAGGATCCTCAAATCTCAGCCTCCTGAGTGGCTCAGATTATAAGCATGAGCCACCAGTGTCTGGTTCCTATGAATGATATTTTAAATATTCAAATAGCCCCTGGCAGAAAATATCCTTAGACTTCTTACTTCTCCATCTCTGAATGGTAAATATTGTCCTTGTGCTACAGGTACAGAAAGTGAGACCATGCACAAATAACTTGTCCAGGATCATGCAGTTGGTAACTTGTCAAGCTAATTTTCAAATTTAGCCTGATTCCCTTTGTAACATCACACTGCTTTGCAAGAGGGCACTGTCACAATGACTTGAAGATAAACTGGGGTGAGGATGTCACTTAGCAGCAGACTTGGACACCCTCTTTATTTTACTGCAGGAGGGTACTGAATTATGGAGACCATATATGAGAAAACCGTGATTCTTGAAAATCCTCATGAGGAGTGGTTCTGGTCCAACGCTTTGCAATCATTCTCAAAGGGCAGGTTCTATGAAATACCCCATGACATCAACAGACACCTGCAATGGAATTGGAAGACTACTCGTGGTAATCATTTTCTTAGACTGTAATGCATGTATGAAAATGCATCTCTATAGTGTTGGAGTCTATACAGAAAGAGGTGGGATTACCGTGCGGATTACATGAAGAGCTGGACATGCTCACCATGTCTTAAGACTTGGCAAGATGCAGCTCCCATTCAGTTATACAAATGATCATCTTTTTTGTATTTGCACAGAGGTTCCCTTACAGCTGTCTATAGTCTTTGGCACAGAAGTGGTAGATAGAAGTACATTTGTTAAATGTCAGTTGCAAGTTCATCCCTTGATGAGCATTTCTTGTCAATGCCTGCATTCCCATTGGCAATGCTAGGAGGAAAGGAATGATGTGTGTCTTTTGACAGATATGCCAAAGCTTAGCTAATGCGCAACCAACCCATGCTTGAAGCTGGGTGCTGGTGGCTCATGCTTGTAATCCTAGCTATTCAGGAGGCTGAGATCTGGGGATTGTAGTTCAAAGCCAGCCCAGGCAGAAAAGTCCATGACTCTTCTTATTTTATAAGAAGAAAAGAGCCAGTGAAAAGTTTTATTTTTAATTAATTGTTTTATTTATTTTTGTTTATGTGGTACCAAGGAATTGAACCCAAGGCCTCGTGAATGCTAGGCAAGCACTGTATCCCTAAGCCACTTACCCAGCCCAAGTCCATGACTCTTATCTCCAGTTTAACCACCAAAAAGCCAAAAGTGGAGCTGGGGCTCAAGAGATAGAGTGCTAGCCTTGAGCAAAAAAGAGCTCAAAGACATCATTCTGGTCCTGAATTCAAGCCCAAGGACTGGCACCAAAACAAAGCAAACCAAAACACAGTTTGAGGAATTTCAAACCTATATCCATTCTTCTAAGAATCTTTAAGAAGGTCTGAGAAGTAGGCTTTACAAGCCTACTTTCCTCCCCTTTGTAACTTTCTTGAAAGACACCAATCCCCCAGCAGGATTTTCATTCCGGATCACCCTGGCTTTTTGAGCCTGGCTCATGTGTGTTCTTAATCAAAATTTTAAACTTTTTTTCATTTTTACTTCTTTTTTGAGATGGAGGTCATACTATGTTCCCAGTCTAGACTGAATTCCTAGTAGCTGAGATTA